GATCTCCCCGTCCACATGCAGGATTTTCTCTACCATTGAGCCCTCCACCCCTCTCCATCCAGCCCTGGGAGGGCGAGAACCTTTCCCCGGACCACAAATGCCCCCCAACCGCCTTCAAGGCATTCAGTTCGTTTCTCAAGCGTGGCAACTTTCAGATGGGTGGACTTCAACTCCCAGAACTCCCCCACCCCCAATACCCCCCCCCGACCCGTGGGGGTGGGGGGATTCCGGGGAGTGGAAGTCCACCCATCTTCAAGCTGCCAAGATTGAGAAGCACTGTGCCAGAGCTTCCAAACGCCAGCTGTCACAGCTGGCAGAGCCCAAGGAGGCAACAATGCGGCCGTTTTACCCCAATTGCCTCTAAGCACTACAATGCCCACCAGCACCAGAACTTTTTTTTATCGAGATTTATGGATATGGAATGAGAAAAGACTCATGGAAGGTTCATCTGGTTTATGGTAACAGCAGCAAGATGATTAGATCCACCAGGACGGAGGGCCACAGAAATGCCCCCCCACCCCCCCGTGGAGGAAGAGATCGTAAAAATGTCAGAATGAGCAGAAACTGCAAAACTGGCCTGTTTGGTCAGGGTTACAAGTGCTTTTTTTTAAAGACTGGAAACCTTTTATGGGCTTTTTGCTAAAAGAAGAAAAAAGTGAAAGGGTGATTTATGGATTTAATGATGGAAACAGATGAGAATTAAGTAAGGGGTTGAAGGGATTTCTGGAAGACTTAAGTGGGAAGGGAGACGATAGGTTGGTTAATATCTGTTGAAGAGAAAGTTGGAAGTCATTATATTTCGTAACTTTAGGTTTTTTTCTTCTCTTGCGCTTCTCTCCTTTCTTTTCTATCTTTTTCTCTAGATTTGCTTTTTGCTTTATGTATAATCCTCCATAAATATAAATTTTAAAATATACCATGCCCCCCAGCCATGGTGTGGCTGAGTCATGGTGCTGAACTCTGCGTGTTTGGGATCGTGGCCCTGGCACCCCGGAGGCCACCACCTGGACGTTTGCAACTAGGGAGATCCGACCTCAGCGCAGGTGTTCTACAGCTGGCAGCTCTGCGCATCACCACCCCAAGTCACGAGGAGTGAATTCGCTCCCGGAGCCAACCGCACATGGTGAGGAACTCTGAGAGCTTGCCCCAACCTGGTATTCTTCTGCCCTTCTCAATGCCTTGTAGTCACAGCCGTTCGGGACTCTGCTGCTGTTGCTCTGCCTGGAGGTCCAGGAATTCTCCTCTTCCTCCGAATAATTTATCTGGGCACTTCGAAAAAGCCTCTTTGAGTGCTGGAAAGGAAGGGAGAACTAAGTCCATCATGCTGGAAAGAGACACAAAGGAGATGGAAGAGCGGGCAGCTTGACCAAGAAACAGATTCTCCTGGCGTGGACCAGGAAAACACCACCCTAATTTCTAAGGGACCCCCATGCCCGTTTCCAATCTCCTGCAGACAGCCCCGGAGTACCTTTATTTTTCTTTTTGCTTCTTTTCTTGGTTCGTTATGTTTTACTTATCCAATAAAATAAGAGAGGTTAAAAAAAACCCCAACATTTCAATGGATTTTTAAATTGCATCAGCAAGAAACAGTATTTCAGAAATAACCTTATTGCACTGATGTTGCTGGAGACGCAGTGAAATTAAGGCTTTATTTAAATATATTGTTCCATTTCGGTAAGAAACAATTGCATGTATTAACTCAGCCTTGGGATTTAATATTTTCAGATGTTTATATTCTATCCCAATCACATCAGAGTTGACTTCTAGGCAAAAAGAATAGACTTACAGTCAAAAGACATTGTTCAGCATCAGCTCCAAATATTCAGCTGTTTGCAGAACTGATTAATATAGATCAGTGTTTCTCAGTCTCGGCAACTTTAAGATGGGTGGACTTCAACTCCCATGGCTGGCTGGGGAATTCTGGGAGTTGAA